TTTAATATAAGCATTTACAAGAGTGGCATAGTGATTTTCTGTTGAGAGTCAATATTTGCAGTATGCTGGAATTTTCATCTGTTGCAGCTCTTTAAACTAGGGCGAACAGATAAGCCAGCATCTGAAATGCAGGGAGTGCCATGCAGTCTTTTTGTGGGAATGTTGACAAAGATGCTGCTGAGCCTGGTACCAGGTGTCAGGTAGCCACCTGACAGAGGTGGAGCAGGCGGGCCTGGGGAGGGTGAGGGCCATATAAGGGGACTGGCTTGGAGGTGGCTTTCAGGTGCCAGATCCAGGGAGAAAAGAGCAGGATGCCAGCCTGGGCTGGTCCCGGATGCTGGATGCTGAACACTGGATGGAGGTGCAGACAGCAAAGGAGCGTCCAGTGAGAGGGAAGTGAAGCAGGAGGCTGCCTGAAGAGGGATGTCCAGCGGAAGGGAGCTGGGGCCTCCCTGCTGGGGGCTGAGATGCTGATGGAGGCGGGGGCAGGGTAGGGGAGGTGTCTTGGCAAGAGCCCCTTGGTGAAGATGGAGATAGGACAGGGATGACTGTCCCAGTCCAGAGGGTGTCAGGGGTGAGGAAGGCAGTGGTTCTTCCAAGGACCTTAACAACTGATAGAAACAGAAACCGGACAGCATGTGATGTTTCAGTGTCTTAGGTGCTAGGGAAAGGTGGAGTGGCATCCTGTATGGTGTATGGCAGTCAAGGGCAAAGAGGGATTCAGAGAGGTGGGCATGGGGGGAATTCAGGCTGGGTCTTAAAGATTAGGTAGGAGTCTGACAGATGCGGGGGAGAGAGTTTCTGGCTTAGCCTGTTTTCTCCTGCTGTAACAGAGCACCCCAGGCTGGCTAATTATAAAGAAAGGGAATTTATTTCTCATAGTCTGGAGACTGGGAAGTCTAGATCGAGGTGCCAGCATGTGACAGAGGTCTTCCTGCTGCGTTATCACAGGGGAGCTTGCTTGTACAATTCGCAGATGGCATTGATCCATTCACGAGGGTGGAGCCTTGTAACCTCTCAGCGACTAATGCTCCCACGTTGCAGTCAATCTCACCCTGAGCGCTGAAGGCCACTCTGCCCTGCAGCAGTTCTGGGAGAGGAAACACTGCATGGAGCTGGGAGGCTGGGAGGCTGGGAGGCTGGGAAGCCTCCACTGGGGTGGGGAGGAACCTAGACAAGCAAGGGCCCTGCTGAGCCCCGCATTCTCATCAAAGCTAGTCATGTCTGGGGAGGCTTCAAGCCTGTGGGCGTTCTGATGAGTGCACGTGCTCTGGGCGCCGTGAACTCACACACACTGGGCTTGGATCTCACGCAGGTGCTGCTCTCAGCCTGAGGTGCCTGAGGTGCACTATCCGTCTGGGCTTCGTGTGGCCTGTTTCACTGTCCTCTCGTCAGGGTCTCAGATCACAGCTCCCAGTGCAGAAGTACATGGCTCACGAGACGCCTTGACTGAGAGCCAGCTAGAGACTCAGGATGTGAGCCCAGTGGGTGTTGGTCTTGGGCTTTGGGGGCCCGCAGGGTGATGGTCAGTGCCACTTGTCCTCTGGGCATATTAGGCTGCTTTTGACCTCTTGTTGTTTGACACAGGGACTCGCTGTGTAGCCCAGGCTGGCCCAGAACTCTTGACGCTCCCCTCCTGAGTGCTGGAACTACAGGTGTGTGCCATCATGCCCTGCGTGAGCTCACTTGTTTCATTCCATCAGCATACGTAATTGTACGTAATTGCACAGGGAGGAGTCACTGTGACCTTGTACCCTGGTTAGAAAGTTAACGGTTTTATGAGATTCGAGGTCACGGTTCGTTTTTGGCTGTGGATGTCCAGTTGCTCTGCACCAATTGTTGAGAAGGCCCTCCCTCCTCCTGTCCCTGAGAGTACCCGAGGTCCCCCCCTTCCTCACACTCAGTTGGATGCTGAACCTCACTCTTTATTTATTTATTTTTTTTTTGCGGTACTGAGGTTTGAACTCAGGGCCTTCACCTTGAGCCACTCCACCAGCCCTTTTTGTGATGGGCTTTTTCGAGATAGGATCTTGCAAACTATTTGCCCAGGCTGGCTTTGAACCTCGATCCTCCTGATCTCTGCCTCTCCTCTGTTTTTCATTTTGTAAAGGCAGTGGACCTCAAGCCCTAGGCAGGCTCTCTATCCCTTGAGCCACGCCCCCAGCCCTCATTGACATTCTTTAGTTTCCTGATGCTGCCACCTTGTTTTCTGTTCTTAGAGTTGTGTTTAGTCCCTCTTTTTTTTTTTTAGTAGTTGTACACATTTTAAAAAGACTTAAGAGACTCACCTGGAGGATGTGAAAACCTCCTGCTGGCTCCTCCAGTCTAATTTCAGCAGGTGGGGAGGGGGCACAGTTTACATCACTGAGGATTCCAGACAGTGCTGGTATTGCCTGCTCCTGGCCCAGGAACCACACTTTGAGAACCACGGGTGCAAGGCAAGTTTTCCCAGGATGGTGATTGAACTGGTGGACTCTTGCATATTTAGTGCTCTTTTCCCTCACCTTTTGCCTAAAATAGTACTTTCTACAATCCCTCCTTTTTTAGATTTTTTTTGGGGGAGAGTTTGAGAGAAGGGTCCCCTTATATAGTTCAGGCTGGCCTTGAACCCTTGAGCCTGTGATCCGCGTCAGCCTCCTGAGTGCTTGAGCTCACAGGCGTGTGCTACCATGCCTGGTGTTCTGGGAATTCTTCTGGGCCGTGAAGTCAGAGACTGAACTTTTCCTTCTACAAAGGAGCTTTGGGAGCATGAAAGGGATGGCATTTGTCAAAAGAGCCAAGACTTGAAGATGCCTTGTTCCCCGCTGCCCTGGGTGGCTCTGATCTTTGTTCTTGGACTTAGAAGAACTATTTTAGAGGCCACACTTCTGGGGCTGGTACTACTGATAAGCAGTGCTCTTCTCAGGACTCTCAGGTTTAGAGAGAATGAGAGCAGTGCAGTAAGAGGCCAACACTTCAGGTCAGTTTCCTGCCCCTCTCGCTTCCTTACCATAGCTTCTTCTAAAGTCCTCCCAAGCTGGGGCTCCTTCTCCCTGCAGCTCTGCTAGCGGGGAGGGGCTGGGTCCTGGACCACTCAGAGGGCCACTGTCTGTGAGGCACAGGCTAGAGGCATGTGCTGCCCCAGGGAGAGGTGGCCCTGCCAGTCCTCTAGACTTCTCCAGGCTTCCACAACAAGCAAGACCAGAGCAGATTCCCTTTCCCCACCTCCTCCTTGGGTTGGGACTCTGCTGCCAGGATCAGACTGCAGTTGAGGTGGTCTCTTGCTCCCACTGTAGAACCCCTGGCCTCGGCAGAGCTGCTGGTGGTGGGGGGAGGGTCCTCAGGCTCCAGGGACTCAGCAGCCCTCAACTCACTCTAATGCTGTTTTTGCCACATAGTCTGTTATGATTTAGATCTTAAATGTCTCCCCAAAGCTTATGTGTTCAAAGCTTGGTCCTCAGCTGATGGTGGTATTAGGATGTTGGAAATTTTAGGAGGTGGGGCCTAATTGGAGGAAGTAGGTCATTAGGGGGTGTGACCTGAAAGGGGATTTTGGGGACCCTGGCCCCACCTCTGCCTTTGCTTCCTGACTGCCTTGAAGTGAGCAACTTTGTTCTAGCATGTGTTCCCACCATGATGATCTGCCTCACCACAGGCCTAAAAGCAATGGAGCCAAGTGTGGATGGACACCATGAGCCAAAATAAGCCTTTCCTCTTTTAAGTGAATTTTCTCAGGTGTTTCATCACCGCCACAGAAAGCTGTGTAATACATTGTCCCTGTTTGCCTCCCTCTCAGCAACCATGTGCTGTCCCCATCCCAGACTGTGGTGCCTACAGCCCGGAGTCTGGGGAGGCAAGGCAGAGACGTGAAGCTGGGTTAGATCTGCTGGGGCCATGAGACAGCTTCCAACTTGGGGTACTGTTCCAGGAAAAGAAAATAAGATGCTGTGGTTCGGGAGGCTCTGCCCTGGTTATTTCTGTCATTTTAAGGGCAACTTGGAGATCTGACTGACTTGCTCCCATGCGGCTAATTCACTCTCCCGTCATGAAGTTTTTCACTCTCTTGCCTTATCTACTTACAAACGCATGAATTGAGTGAGTTCGAATTTGCACTTGGCTTTGTGTTGTCTGCTTTTCAATCTTCAGGCATCTGTGGATGGGATGAGTTGGAGGGTGAGTGGGATTAACATTCAAGGAAGTACACACCACCACACTTTCTAGTCCCAAAAATAATACCCAGCAGCAGACACCAGAGGGGCAGGGCAAGAAGAGGGAGGCAGGAAGGATGTAGGGTGGGAATGATGGTTTGGTAGCACATGCTGTGTGCATCTGACTTTATCCTCCTCCCAAAACCGCATGAGGTGAGCATTTTAATTTCCATGTTTATAGCTTAGGAATCTGAGGTTCCAGAACCAACAGTTTGGATCACCCTGTGAAGTGCATGTGTGTGGCAGGGGGCTGATTTGTGCCCCGCTGCCCACTATTGAGGTGGTTCTTGAGGCATTCTTCACAGCATTCATGGGAAATAGAAGTGATTGGATCTGCCAAAGGCTTATGTGGGAACAGGAAAGCCCTCCATGATAGCATGCATTTCTTATTCCCCAGAGAAGGAGTTTATGGGGCATTGGGCCCAAGTAAGATGCTGAAAGGAAACAGGTTACATTAGACATGACTGCCCCAGAGGAACTCATGGCCCAGGGAGCGAGGAACCAAAAAGAAGTGGCTACGTGAACTGGCTTTTTTTTTTTTTTAAATGGTGCATATTTTATAAATGGGAACCAATGGCTAAGGTGACAAGATAAAAGTCTGAGTTCATGAAGACTGCTTAGTCACGAGGCCATTCAAATCTATGCCTGTATTAAAACTATTTTAGGTGAAAACATGTTTCAAATGACCTGTGAGGAGACCCACCACTTCATTTCCTTGAAAGCACAGCGGGGAGGCCTCGGCAGGAATCGCCTTTAAACATTGCATTGGTGAAAGCTCATCACTAACATGGCCCTCTTCATCCCGACAGGTGTCAGCGATGGCTGAGGATGGCAGCGAGGAGATCATGTTCCTCTGTAAGTGGCCTGTCCCCTGTCCATCGTGGGCCTGTCTGGGGCTGGCTTGCTGCCATAGAACACAGATGGGGCCAACACTTTCTATCTGGGCAAAGCCGTGTCCACTTTTTGTTTTATTCCACAGAAAAGCTGTTTCTTTTAAAATTGAAATGATTTCACTTGCTTTGAGAGACCTGGTTTACTTCGCTCTGTATGCTGCCAGGGCATGGTCTTCACACGACCATCCTGAGAATTTCCAGCAGGGGGCCCATTGTGGGGGTGGCCCTTGATTCAGAACAGTCACCCAAGGTTTAGGAAGAGGCAAGTGTTGGGTTTAGGATAAACTAGTTTGCACTGGTGACTTCATTATTCTTATCCTTTGGGGAAGATCTTCATTTTTGTAACCATAGAGGGGCCGTGCAGGATTGAAAACATGCTGCAGAGCTGGAGTTGTTGGGGGGAGGTACCTGGTTTTTTGGAGTACAGGGGTGACTTTTGTGATGCCAGCCTCGCTGATTGCTGTGACCTTGCTTTCTTGGCTTCATGGTGTCAGCTCACATGTGTCTCAGGACAATAGGTCACCCCTATGTGGCAGGGTCCCGTGTTTTGGGTTATGGTCAGCATCCCTCCCTGGGTACTGTCTCCTCTGATGCTTGATACCTGTTTGCAGGGTGTGAAGACTGCAGCCAGTACCACGACTCTGAATGTCCTGAGCTGGGCCCAGTAGTCATGGTCAAAGATTCCTTTGTGTTGAGCAGGGCAAGGTAAGTGACTGCCTTGAGGTGCCATCACAATCCATCTGTGAAACAGTGTCCCTGTCTGCCAGCTGCAGCCAGAACTCAGTGGCTGAGTGTCTGCAGACAAGGGAGGGAACGAAAGCAAGAGACTGTGTGTGGGTGTGAGTGGTTTCTACCCCTTAGGGAGGGGTGCCTTGCTTCGCTGGCAGGATGAGCGTTCGAATTTCAGCAGCGGAGTGCCTTTCTTTGAGTTTGCTCAGGGTTGCAGGATCAGCCTGGCTCTGTCCGAGCTGCAGCAACAGTAGCCAGATGTGTTGGGCTCCCCTATATTCTGAGCCCAGGCCTCCTGCCGAACGGTGTGACTATGGGGCAGGTGGTCCAGGGCATCCAGGTAAACAAGGCCAAGCCAGGCAGCTCCTGGACAAAACTCATCTGCTCAGTGGCCAGCAGCTCTGCTCCTGTGGCCCTAGAGGATCTAGGGTAAAAGACTCTGATGTCACAGCCCGGGGCTGCACGTCGTAGCATTTGTACCTGGACGAGGCGTTCTCGTCTGAGCCTCAGTTGCTCTCATGAGATTGTGCTTTTTATCTGTGATGGTCCTGACATAGTCGATGCCTACACCGTGGTCATTGTCTTATCAGTCCTATGTCTAGAAGCCTCCCAAGTGATCTCTATATTTTGTTTCAAAGTGACTTATTCTACTCAAAACAAAAAGATTAATATTTTTGCCAATTTTCCTTTTTTCCCAAAACCTTTGTGGGTTCCCCCTGCCCACCAAAATGTTATTTAAGCCATTGGCTGCCCAGCGGAGCTCTCTGTGATAGATTTTTCTGTCTTAGCCTGGACCCTGCCCAACCCATAGGGGTCTGTGCTCCGGCTCCCTGGGAGTCGGGCTGGCGCAAGCCTTGCCCCATCCTGAGGTGCCCCCCCGCCCTTTGCCCTTCTCCTCTGGTATCTTGTCTTTGACCTTCTAGTTTAGTTACCAAGGCCACTGTGGAATGGCTGGAAACCCATTCCTGGTCCTTGGTGTATATAGCACTTCCCACTGAGTTCTCTGTTCTTCTCTCCTCCCTCTCATTCCTCCCTCCTCAGGAGGGTGGTAGCGAATGCCTAGCCTGATTCCACTCTTGTCCTACAGTGCCCACCCTGGAACGTGTGGTCAGCACTGTCTTCAGAGGAGCTTTAAATGCATCCTGTAATAAGTAGCCCTTCTATCGTGGGCTCTAGGCAGTCTTGCCAGGCCTTGTGATACAGCTTGTGGAGTTAAGGCCAATAAAGAGCTGAAACGCTACCCAAGGGCGGCATGCAGCCTCAGCCTCAGTCCTGTTTTCATTTGTTGAGGAGCTTGTGTTCTGTTGGGTGGAGAATGTCTCAGAAGCCAGGCTGAGCAGCGAGAGTTAGCTGCACCACTCTGGCCTGTGGAGAGGTGGCAGATGGCCTCTGTGAGTCCTTTTCTTCCCCTTCCAGGTCCTCCCTCCCCTCCAACCTGGAGATCAGGCGCCTGGAAGATGGGGCCGAGGGAGTGTTTGCCGTGACACAGCTGGTCAAGCGAACGCAGTTTGGCCCATTCGAGTCCAGGAGGGTCGCCAAGTGGGAAAAGGAATCTGCCTTCCCGCTGAAGGTAAGGGCTTCTGCGTGCAGGCGCTCAGGAGCCTGGGATTTTGTTTTTATGCCACAAGAACATGAAAGGAAGCTTGTATTTTATAATTTGCCAATCTTCAGAGAGTGCATTTAGAACAAAGGCAGGAATAACCTGCAGCTGGCACTGCAGCTGTGGTGAGACCCCTTTTCCCACGACCAGCCTGGAGCCTGTCCCACCTAAGCCACTTGGCTTACCTGTGGCCCTCCTAGCCATTGGAAACACCTGTTACCCAGGTTCTGCCAGACCTGATGGCCTCTTATGTGGCCCTATTCAGGTGGGCTCCTCAGCTCCCCACTGACCTCCAGACTGGTAGGTAACCAGCCCTTGTCCACCCCAGGTGTTCCAGAAAGATGGGCACCCTGTGTGCTTTGATACCTCCAACGAGGACGACTGCAACTGGATGATGCTGGTGCGGCCGGCGCTGGAGCCGGGGCACCAGAACCTGACAGCCTACCAGCATGGCAGTGACGTATACTTTACCACCTCACGTGACATCCCCCCTGGCACTGAGCTGCGGGTGTGGTATGCCGCCTTTTACGCCAAGAAGATGGATAAACCCATGCTAAGACAGGCCTGCGCCAACGTCCACGGTACGTCCTTGGCTACCTTCCCTGGTGCCTCACTGTAGTGCTGAGGGCCCGTGGGCAGAGACGCTAAGCCCACCACTCATGAGGTGAACATGCTGGGCCTGGGGTGGGGGGTGAGGTGGAGATGGGGCCAGTGCAGTGCTTGCACACCAGGGCCGGCCTTCCTGCCCGCCAAACTTCAGGTGACAGACAATTAGGAGCACTCACCCCTCAGCCTTCTGGGCCCCTTGCTGGTGGGAAATGCCACCTTTCCGCTTCACCAAGAGATGTTGGGTACTTGGACCTAACACAGGCTGGCATTCACTCTGCTGTCAGGGCCTCTACACTGGGACTCATCTCCCATGGTGTGAGGAAGCAGTTTATCCCAAGAGCACAGGGGTTCAGGAATACATTCAAGGTTATGGTGCAGTAGGTGAAAGAACCAGGCCTCGAGCCTGGGAGCAGCCTCCTCCTTCCCTTGACCCAAGTCCGTGTGTGCGCACAGGGGTTTGTGTGCAGATGCAGGGGTGAGCATGTGCACAGAAGTATAGGTGTGTGTGAGCATGTGTTCAGAAGAGAGACTTGGCATAGGTCACACGAGTGATCTACCTGGCTCCTGTGCCCCTGTAGGAAATGCAGGTCACAGTGTCTGTCCTACTAACCCTGGGTCTAGACCGTCATGGGGGCTGTCTGTTGGATTTGTGTCACTCCTGCCTGCACTGTGGGCCTTTGGGCCGTACATAGATCTTCTTTATGTCACCTCAGGGATCTGTGTGAAATCCCTGGTGTTTCAGTTTGTCCAGGGGAGTAGTCTTCCACAATGACATGATTTTCACATGAAAGTGGTTTCCTTTCCCTGACAGGCAAGGCAGGGGACATAGTGCCTCTGCAAAGGATGTTCCCTAATGTTTGGAAGATTCTGGTCTGCCCTCTGTTAGCTGGTCACAGGCAAGGTTTTGGGGAATGCAGCTGGGCGTCCCTGCTCAGGGGGCAGGTTCCACAGTGTGTGGAGTTGCCTGGACAGGCTTAGCAAGTGTCTTGGGGCCTCCCTGACCAAGCACCACATGCCAGGGAGCTGACTGTAGAAATGAATGTCCCCAGACTACAGGCCCCATGAGAGTGCCTGTGACTTTGAAAAGGAGCCTCCCTAGTGAGGGTCACCCTTTGTGCCTGAGCCCCTCTCCAGAGTGTTGCGTGTCATCAATGTGTGGTGAGAGGCACTGCCAGTGCAGCAGCTACCTGTCCCAGGTGACAATTAAAATTAGACTAAGTAAACTCACTCCCACTGTGCCCCAGAGGCTCCCCTGCTGGACAGCAGGTACAGGGCATGTCTGTCATCCCAGAAGCCTCTGGGGACGACTGGGCTGGGGCTGCAGCCACAGCAGATTGGGGCACCATTGGCTGTCTGTTGTGGGTCCCGCTGTCCCCTATTTTCTGAGCCACTGAGAAACTGATGAGTTAAACATGGATCTTGAGGGTGGGTTTTTCTTGACGTTGCATGAGGGATGCATCTGGCCCTAGTGGGCTGGTATCTTGGAGAGGCCACATTTCTGTGTCTGGTGGCCGCAGACCCTGCGGAGCTGGCTTTGGCCCCACATCGGCTCAGCTTCCTCACTTCTGAGATGGGGTAAATTTGGTCAGTGTGGGAGCGGTGCCTGGAACACTACAGGTGCTCATGCAACTGAGCTTCTGCCATCATCGTCCTTGTCACCTATGGGGATGGGCCACTCCCTGCCCAGCAGGGCTGCAGGAGACCCCAGCCGTCATGGGTCACATTTTTCCTCTCTTATGTTTTGCAGCTGCGGGCACCTCAGAGCCCAGTGCCCCTGCAGAGCCGGAACGTGGCCAGTGGGCATGCAAGGTGTGCTCCAACTCCTTCCTTGAGTTGCAGCTGCTCAACGGTAAGGGTGGCAAGGGCAAGGTCACGCCCCAAGGTGGTCCATGGTGCTGGGCACTTCCATTCACACTGGCACTTCCCCGAGGCTGTCAGATGTCCCAGGTTTTGTCCTGTCTGCCCTGTGGCCCACAGATTAGTCACTCAGTGTTCCTCCCCTCGGCAGGCAGGTCTGGCCTTCTCTGCTATCATTACCACATTCAGCTGCCTGCCTGCTGGGCTCTGACATGGAGTGGACAGGCAGGTGTCAGGAGCTGTTGTGCGAGCCTGCCTGTGTGGCATCTGACTATCCCTTATCCAAAGGACTCAGGCTCGCTTACTGACCACAGGTGGCACGGGAAGAATCGAAGGTACCTCAGGTTCTATAGCACCTGGGAATTTTCCGACCCTCTCAGGGGGTTGATTTTCCCACAGACCTCTTATGGGGTCCTGTGAATAAAGGAGGGCATCAGTCATGCAGGCCCTAGGGGAGCCATGTGTAAAATGCAGAGTGTGTCAGCTGAGCCTCTGCAGGGCTCAGGTGCTGCAGTTTCAAGGATGTGACAGCGATAGCTATGGGTGGATGCAGCCCACTCCAGCTGTCATCACCAGGTTGATGGTCAGAATGTTCTGGAACCTGTGAGAATGTTCCTCCCAGACAGGTTTTATCAACAGGAGGGCCAGTGCGAGAGATTGTTCAGAAAAGTGTTGGTCACTGATCAGAGATTGCCCCACTCTTGGGGACAGGCTGGGAATTACTGTAGCCATCTGGCCCTATGTTCCTAGGATGTCCTCCTCATCTCAGCCTCAAGACATTTTGCCTGAGCTTGGGGAGGAAAACATCCTGTTTGTCACCAAGACAGAAACAGCAGAGCAGCTGCTGGGTTTTCTAGTAGTTCTGTGCTTGTGACCTGGACAGGGTACAGCTGCAGGGACCTCAGCATCAAGGACATTGCACGAGACATGGTCACGCAGCCCCAGTCAAGAAAGACTGTTTTGGCCAGTGTGGTGGCTCACATCTGTAACATCAGGTACTCGGGAAGGAAAGGTTAGAAAGACCCTATCTTAAGAAAGAAGCCAGCACGGTAGGACACGCCTGTCATCCCAGCCATGGGGAGGCATAGGTAGGAGGACTGTGGTCCAGGCAAAAATGCATGAACTATCTGAAAAATAAGCAAAGCAAAAAGGACTGGGGGTTGGCTCAAATGGTAGAGTGTCCGCCTAGCAATCACAAGGCTCTGAGTTCAAACCCCAGTGCCACACACACACAAAAAAGGCTTTTATGTGTTTTCCCTAACGACTAATTTTAAGTGAACAAAAACCTTCATTTTCACGGTAGAATTTTGCCAGTGGTCATCCACGGGAGGCCATCCATGGATTTTAGACACGGTTACTCCACTGTTCACAGGGCAGATCCTCCTCTAAGTACTTACTTGAGTTGACTCAGTGAAGTATCACAGCAGCTGTACATATAATTGTGATGCCCATTTCTGAGATGAGCAGATTGAGGCCAGAGTGAATAAATCTCCTGCCCAGGTTTTACCGCGGCATGTGTTGGAGCCAGATTCAGACTCGGGCAGCCCTGCCTAGCTCTGCTCCCAGCCCACCCAGAGTGCCCGAAGGACTCGAGGCCCTTCTTCTGCTGCAGACCCTCTTAGGTACTCATGGGTAATCTGATGGCGGAGGGACTGAGGAGTAGCACAGAAGTAGATGAAAGAGGAGGATTACAGAGCTGGACTCCTGGGAGACTGGGCTGTGAGGGCAGAGGGGCTCTGTCTGTCCCCTGCAGACAGGCACTGAGGATGGCCCCAGAGCCAAATGACGCTCCTGTCAAGAGAAAATCTGCAGGGGATGGACTCTACGTGGTTGTGATAGCATTGCTGTGTACTCACAGGAAGAACGTGATTCCATGATCACACCGTGCCTGAAGCTGCCTTCCCGAGGCTTGCCTTTATAGTTTCAGGATCCAGCTTGCCAGACTTGCCCTTTCTGATGTTGGCTAACTTCCAAACCAAACCAGTGATGTGAACTAAAAATTCTTTTATGTATTTCTTACTGAACTTAGAAGATGCATGACTGCAGGCAGGTGAAGGTCAACTGGGGCTCTTGAGGTCAAACCCTCCTTGCAGAGCACCAGGAGACCAGGTGAGGTTTTTAACAGCAGTGTGGGGCAGCAGAGGCTGCTGTCCTTGACCTTCCGCTGAGGATGTCCTTTCCCCTGTGTCGACTTGGGGAGTACCACTCATGTCTCTGGAGTCCTCTGAGAGCTCCTAAGCACAGGGCATCAGTGGTGCGCAGGCCTTGGTGTGCTCTTGGAGTCCCACTCAAATGACAAAGAAGGGAAAATGGGGACACACAGAGCAGCAGGCAGGTCTGGATGCCAGAAAGCGTATGGAGCCATGGTGGTCACCAAGCAAACAAGAGAAGCGGAAGCCAGCAGTGGGGGCCCAAGAAGCATGTCACCTCTGAGGAGCTCTGGAAGATTTAGAACTAAGCACTCAGGGGCTCGGGGCAGAGGAAGGGATGGGACAGAGACTGTGGCCAGCTGAACGCCTGCGTGAAGTGCTCAGGCCCCAGCTTCCTGCCTTGTCCCTCTCAGCTGTGCCTCTGCTCCATCACCAGAATGCTGGCTCCACTCTCAGGCCAGATACCAGGAGCCCACAGTACTGAGGACAGGGCACTCGGGGAGACTGATCCTGGGACATGAGACTTGTCACCTCCCCGTGTCATCCTCTCAGAATGGTGGCAGCCAAGCTCACACTCCAGGGCAGGGTTTCTCTGGAGACACTGACCAGCCCAAGAGTAGAGACCAAGGTCCCCACCAGTGTGGCCACCCACCCTGTGACTGGTAGGCAGCCAGCCATTCCCCTGGCTCCCAGCAACACCTGCACTGTGAGTACTCCAGACTGGAAGAAAGTCAAATGTGACCAGAGAGGCAGGAGCAAACTGAGGAAGCTTAAGAGCAAATCCAGGGAACCCCAGCTGCTGCATGAAGTCAGGTGAGGTGACAGGGACACTGTGTCCTTGATGTAAGAGTAGGTCGTGGTTGAAAAAACCAGAACAACAGGTAGCAGGAAGAGAAAGCTATGGCGACAGAAGTGAGTTGGGTGCCTGAGAATACTGAGGGAATCTTCCAGAAGGAGGAACATGTTGAACAGAGAAAAGATGAGAGACTGAAGGGTGGTCAGAGAGACCCCACACAGGACCAGAAGTGGCTCCTCAGAAAGCAGAGGTGAGGGAGTGTGGAAAAGAGTAAGGAGCCATCAGGGACAGCCAGAACTGAAGGGAGGAGGGCCTGGCAGTAGCCTGGAAAGAATGGAAGTGACCCTAGAAAGGATGGAAAGGACCTGTCTACCTTGAGCCCTGACGAGATCTGGTAGCATTAGCACTGAACGAGTTAAAACTCAGAGTGTAGAGTACACGTGACTCAGTGGGAATCAGGATGGCACCACCCTTCTTCTCCAGCTGAGAAATCTTATCCCCACTGGATAGGAATTGTCCCCATGGGCTGGTTGACCAAGGGTGTTTTCAGTTTTTAGGCAGGTGGGCTCAGACCCTGGGCCCCTGCACCGTTTTTCCTCTGAAAGATGCTGTAGGCCTTTGTCAAGAAAGGAAGCAGCCTTGCCCATCAGGTTCTGCGCTGTGGGTCACAGAGCTCTCTCTCTAAGTGGCTTAATGGGAAGGAGCCTGTTGAAGGCATTAAATAGTTCTAGAAATTTCTAGACATGCTAGAGAATCAAGTAAGAAGAACCCTGGAGTGACGCGGCAGAGCTGTTCCAGTGAGACCCAGCAGGTGTAGATGCTGCTCCCTGCACAGAGTTCAAACTCATGCAGCCTCAGAAAGCCAGGCATCTCTACCGGCTGGCCAGAAACTGCTCCTGGCCACCTGCCTCCTCACGCTGCTTGCACTCACGGTGGGGAAAAGTTAGAGTGAGTTTTCTGGGGGTGGTGGGGCTCAGACTGTGAAAAGTTAACAAAGCATCAGAAAGATATTCTCCAGTGTTGCCCAGCCAGAGAAGCTGTCCACTGCGTCATGTCGGGTACAAGAAAGAAGCTCCTGTGCGGGGATGGAGCCAGAGGAATATTCGGGTCACTGTTGAGAAGACGGCAGGACAAGAGCGGCAGGATATTGGCCCAAGCCTGGAGCAGGACCAAAGGCTCCAGAAAAATGGCCACAAAAGAAAAGGAAGCAAGAAGTTAACTGATGTGTTTGTAGAGAAAGGACTATACCTTCAAGTCTAGAGATCAATAATGACACTCACGTGGGAAAAAATAAGCAATTGATAAAAGATAAGGCAATAACTAACTCTACGAAAGCATAACACCTATCATAACCCATGTACGGCACAGCTGTGAAGACAGCTTCATGTTTATTGATTTATCCCAAAACTGGCATGAGTGTATTGGTGGGATTGGGGAGAGATGTGAGGTTTGGGAAGGGAGTAGAGGGCATAAGAAAGAAAGCTAAATCTTCACCTTCCATATTAAATGATCAATGGATATCATTCAGTACAGTCAGCCTTCCACACATCAGGAATGTTCAGGAAAAAAGCTGTTAAACAATAGAGCATGGTATCTATGCATGCAGCGTTTGACTGTGGTGTCAGGGGTAATCTCGAAATGGCTTGGAGTGTCTGGGAAGACATATGCAAACACCATGCCATTTTACATTAGGGTAGTTTGCCATCCAGGGGCATCCTGGAACCAACCCCTCGTAGACGTGGAGGAATGAAGAGTAACCCAGGGGACCGTGGCGGGCACTGCCACTGTCTTTCCTTTGAACTTGGTGGTGTGTCTTAAAGGTGGGCTCTGTCTCGGCTGGCCTTTCTGTGGTCTTCAGCCCATGGTTCCTGTGAGCTTCTTCCCTGGAGGCTGTGTCACGTTGTGCTGTTTGCTTTCTCAGTGTCTGTGCCTCACTCGAGTGAGTCTTTGAGGCCACTCGCCTGGCACAGGGTCTCCACATTCTACACAGCCCTTGAGCTCCGTGCAGCGTTGAGTCAGCTCAGATTTACAATGGGAAGAACTGTCCTAGGCCTGAGTTTGCACAAATGTGCCTTTGTCATGTGCATGCTTAGTCACCAACTATCCCTGACTGCTTCCTTCTCCTGCTAGCTGCCGCCAGGTGAAAGCTGGTCTGAGCTGCTTTCACCTTTACCTGCTGCTTTCCTCTCCTACCCGCGTTGCACTCTGTCCTTGCCTGTTTCCAAGGTTTTTCCCAATGACCTCTTCTTGGGCAGTCTCTGATGTTTCTACCTGTTGAAAATAAGCAACAGGTTTTGCTTTCTTGCAGTTCTTTAAACAAAGTTGTTTTTTTTTTTATTACAAGTTGAATTTTTCTCACCAATCCCCTGTAGATGCTACCTTTCTAGTAACTTTACACGTTCATTGCAAAAACTTAGAAAATATGGACAGGGGACATGGCTCAAGTGGTATAGCACCTGCCTAGCAAGCATGAGGCCCTGAGTTCAAACCTCAGTACCACAAAAAAAAATTAGAAAATATAAATAAGCTTAAAGAAGAAAATAAAAATTGCCTGTAATTTCATCATTTGGAGAAAAACATGCTAGTATTTGGATATAGCCTTCTCATGTTTTTTTTTTTTTTTTTTTTTTGCACGTGTCTGTATGCTTTTGGTTTTTACAGAGCTGCCTTTACAGCAAGCCTGCCCTGCTTTCATCACCTAACTTACTTTTAGCAGTAGTACAGGCTGAGCATCCCTGGTCTGAAAATCCAAAATCCAAAATCCAAAATGCTATGAGATTCTGAATTCCAAAATCCACAATGTTCCAAAATTGGAAAACTCGTGCAGTCCCAATAATATCAGATAAGGGAGATTTGACCTGTGGTTGTGTTCTGCACACAGTGCAAAGTCACATTCAAACAAGGCCACTTCATGTACCTGCACAAAGGGCACAGTTGCAAACAGATGAAAGCAGTGAACAGAATGGGGCTGCACGGGGCAGGGAGCCATGTGCGGCTCTGTAATGTGCATGTCCTTCACTGGTCTTCCCTCACAGAGCACCTTTTGGGCCACTTGGAACAAGCCAAAAGCCTCCCTCCAGGCAGCCAGCACGAGGCGGCTCCTGAGAAGGAGCCCGACACAGCCCGGGGGGAGCCTGCTGCAGTACCCGAGAGCACGAATGTCCAGAGCGTCGGGACCGCCAAAGAGCCAAAGAAAAAGCCTCGAAGGGGAAGGAAACCCAAAGCATCAAAAGCCGAGCAATCTCTGGTCATTGTTGAAGACAAGGAACCTGCAGGTGAGGGCCGGTGCTGGGATGCATGCTGGGCCTGAGCCCACGGCACCTCCTGGACTGCCCGGTGAGCAACTGGGCATGGACAGGTCATGTCCAAGCCCTTCTCTGTCCCTCAGTCAGGTCTTTTAGAGTACAGTTGCCATGTATTCCACACTACACAGTATACAGGCTGTGAGTTCTGACAAATGGACACGCCTGTCTAACCAGCGCCCCTCAGGACAGATGAACTTACATGTGTCAGTCAGTGAGTGGAGCTCTGTATTGGGATTCTTTTTTTTTTTTTTTGACACAGTCTCATTATGTAGCCCCTGCTGGCCTTGAACTTGAGACCTTCCTGCTTGAACCTCCTGAGTAGCTGGGGTTACAGGTGTGTGCCACTGTGCCTGGCTTGGGTCTGGCTTCTTGAAGGACACTGGTCATGAGACTTGTCCGGGTCTTGTCTGTGAGTCTGATCTCCTGACTATGGAGTGGCATTTGATCTGTTGTGCAAATGCTGAATGTCTGCTCTCCCACTGCTTGTGGATAGATAAGCAGTGGCTGTCCCTGGGCCTGGCTGGAGCTCATTCTTTAATTGTGCACAATCCTCAGTTGGGTTTGGAGGGAGATCAGAGCCTCTTTCTAGGGTGTGCGGTCCCTACAGAGCTCTGGTCCCTGCAGTCCTTGCGGGGCCCCAGGCTGAGCTCTATGGTCCTGCAGATGCCTGGCCAGCCTCACTCCAGGACAAGGCATGGTTCAGATGCCAGCCCTGCCCTCCTGTGCTACTTGCACCAGGGCCTTTTTCCTTTTTATTGTCTGGGATACCCCAGGATTTCAGAAGAACGGTCTTCACGTGACACTGCTTCCTCTCTCCTCCCGTGTCCAGTCAGCGACAGCGGCCCATCACGCACTATTTGGAACTGTCATAAGGAGCAGTGGTTTAAATTCCCCGTGACAGTTCCCTGCCTCAATGCAGAAAGGCAGAGGAGTCAGGAAGGGGACAGGAGGTATTATTCTGTGACAGGAGCTGTTCAGAAGGGGAAGCAGTAAAAGCTAGTGGCCGAACTTTTCCTCTGTAATCTCCTCACATTTCATTTATCCTGTTTCTGGCCTGAGCCTGATTTACTGTGAATGTTTGATACAAGTTACAAGGTCCCTCTATACATCAAAAATGGTTTTATTTGGTACGAAGAAGTAGAAGCAATGTTGTGATGCCACAGACTTTAAAAATACCAGATTTTGCTGGGTGCCAGTGGCTCATGCCTGTAATCCTAGCTATTGAGGAGGCAGAGATCAGGAGGATAGCAGTTCAAAGCCAGCCCAGGGAAGTAGTTCATGAGAACCTATCTCGAAAAAACCCATCACACACACACAAAATAAGGGCTGGTGAGGTGGCTTGAGGTGTAGACCCTGAGTTCAAACACCAGTACCACAAAAAAATAAATAAATAAAATCAGATTTTAACTTCATTTTGGATTAAGGAAAGCATTGTGCTTTTCTTCGTATACAGTTAAATGTGTGGGTTCCAAAATATTGTTTGCTTTTCCCTCTGTAAGCAGTCAGGCTTCCAGAGTTTGGCCTGACTGCAGTCCCACGGGGTGGCACGTCTCCTAGGTTTATTGTGTTCTGTCCCCTGCACTGTGATGACTTGGCTTGTCGCACCCTCTTTGCACAGAGCAAGTGGCAGAAATCATCGCCGAGGTCCCGCCGGACGAGCCTGTGAGTGCGACTCCAGACGAGCGGATAATGGAGCTGGTCTTGGGGAAGCTGGCCACCCCTGCGAACGATGCCAACTCTGTGCCAAAGTGAGCCCTGCCTTGGCACAGCCGCCAGACTTGGGGACAGTCCCCTTGGGGTGGGGACCTTCGGGGCAGGATCCCTGGGAACGGGGACCATGAGGGACAGCGATCCTGGGGACTGGATCTCTGAGGGTGGGGACCTAAGGGGGTCCTTGGGGACAGAGAGCACCTGTGGCAGTTAAGTAATGGGTGCTGGAGAGAGGGTGCCTCCCAGCAGGAAATCCCAATGAGCCAGAATTGCATGCATCTGGGAAGCATCAGGAATGTTCTGGAATTCAGGACTTCAATACCTTGTCCACTGAAAACTTAAAAAATTTTGTTGCGATAAAATACATGTAACGTTAAATTTGCCATTGTGACCACTTTTAAGTGCACAGTTCAGAGGTGTAAGTGACACAAGGTGTGAGATCATCACTGCCACCCCATGTCCCAAACAGAAGCTCTGTCCCCAGAGCCTGGCACCCTCCATTGTACGCTCTGTCTCTGTGAATTTGTCTACTGTTGGTCCCACGTAGAAGTGGAGTCATACAGTATTTGCCCCTTTGTGACTGGCTCGTCTCACTTAGATTAATGACCTCAAGATTCATCCACGTTAAGCACATGTCAGAATTCCCTTCCTTTTGAAGGTTGCTTAATATTCCATCGGTGTGTCCACCATTTTGTTTATCCATTGGTGGACATTGGATTGGCTTCTACCTTCTAGCTGTCATGAATTATGTTTTTGTGGTTTCAGTTTTGTGTTTAGATTTCAGTGAATTTAACTATTTGTTCTGTTTCTTTCTTCCTTTTCTTTTTTGTGAACAAGGAAAATGTATTTTAGTTATGATTCCTAGATAAATCTTTGCCCTGAAGTTGAATAAGCTTATCTTTGTTTTCTTTTTTTTTGTGGCACTGGAGTTTGAACTCAGGGCTTTACACTTGCCAGGCAGGCACTCTACCACTTGAGCCCTTCCACCAGCCCTTTCTTTTGTATTTTCAAGCGTCTTGCTTTTTGCCCCAGCTGGCCTTGAACCTTGATCCTCCTTAGCTCCACCTCCCAAGTAGCTAAGCTTTTGGTATTTTTAAGGCTCTTTTGGAGTGCCTTTCCTGGCTGTCAGAATGTGCCTGATGAACCTGTAGAAATACTGGGAAGGAGGACCAAAGTCCATCAGAAATTATGTCACCTACTTCCTTATTTATTCTCTCAGTGCCTGGAGGATTTCAGGCACTTATCACCAAAAGCACATTTAATAAGAAGAAGAAATGTTAAAAGTCAGGTTAAAAGTCACATAAAACAGAGTAGAGTCAGGACCAGTGAGAACAAGAGCACAGGCAGGGTTATCTCAGCTCCAGGCTTGCTGGTGACCAGAGTCGAAAGACAGTAGATGTGGGACTGTCCCAGAGAAACCTCCCTGATGTCACATTATGTGTTCAAGGTGTCTGTCGTGAGCTGCCCTGGTTGCTGGGGTGGTGCTGAGTCCTGACTCCTCACAGAGACCAGGCATAGCTAAGTGTGGAAGGAAGGTCTTTCCAAGATGACTTTAACCAGGTGCTTTGCTCTCTGAGGACCTGTGTCCCACCGTCTCAGCAGCTGTGCCTCTCTCGGGCAGGTTCACGCATCATCAAAGTGGTGCCCTAGCCCTCAAAAGGGGCCTGGTTCTGTCCAGCAGACATGGCGTCCGGCGGAAGCTCGTCCGGCAGCTGGGGGAGCACAAACGAGTCCACCAGTGCAGCACCTGCAGCAAAGTCTTCCAGAACAGCAGCAACCTGAGCCGGCACGTGCGCTCGCACGGTGAGTCCTGGCCTGGGGGCCAGCGCAGGGCGGCAGCAGTCCCCCACTGCGGGTCCTCCCCTCGCCCTCAGAGCTCTGCTAAATGGGCCAAGGGTTGGCTCCATCTTCCTCCCCTCCATGCCGAGGGAGCCTGAGGGCACCCGAGGCCTGTCAGAAAACCCCATTTCAGGAGTGGGGTGCACCTTGCTTGAGGGAATGCATAAAGTAGTGCATATGTGTTCTGTTGTCACTCTTAGGCGACAAGCTGTTTAAGTGCGAGGAGTGTGCAAAGCTGTTCAGCCGTAAGGAGAGTCTCAAGCAACACGTTTCCTATAAGCACAGCAGGAATGAGGTGGGTGCAGACCCCCGGGTCCTCTCCTGTGGTGTAGGAGAAGCAGGGACTCAGTGATCAGTTGCCAAGAGTCTCAGGGTGGGTGCCCAGTGCGTCCTTGCTGGGCCCTGACCTGGCCAACTCCAGCCAGCAGGAGGACGCAGCAGAACACAGGTGTTGGTGAGTGGAGTGTAGACCCCTGAGTGTGGGACTCTGTCTAGGGCAGTTGGGCAGCAATAGGGAAAAGTGTGCATTCCCAATAGAATAGGAGGGAAGAGCTGTAACCCAGCCGGCCTTGGAAGTTGCTAGAACAGCACCCTGGGCAGCCTGTGTGGCCTGCGCGCAGGTCTGCCTTGCTGACAGTGTGTCCGTTTGGCCAGGTGGACGGCGAGTACCGCTACCGCTGTGGCAGCTGTGGGAAGACCTTCCGCATGGAGAGTGCACTGGAGTTCCACAACTGCAGGACAGGTGAGACGGCATGCCACATGAGACCATGCTTACGCCACGCCACACCACACCACACCATGCTTATATCACACCATGCTTACGCCACACCATGCCATACCACGCCACACCATGCAGGCTCTCAGGCCAGGCCAGAGGCCACACTTGAGGAGGAAGTGAACTGTTTCCCTGGGCAGAGGGCCCACTCTGGTATCTCCTGTCAGCTTGCTTCAGAGCACTTGTCACTTACCCCAGAGACGGGATGGCTCGTTCCACGTCCCCTCCATGTTCTCTGTCCCATGAAGCAGGGTCTCATCCTCGACAGAGTGAGCAGCGGTTTGCAATTTGAGAAGACAAATGGGGGTGGGGCTGTGAGAAGTGAGGGTCCCTTCGCTTGGTTTCTCTGCCGCCTGTCTTCCCTCACCCTGTCGTTGCTAGCACTCAGGCATTGTGTCACCATTTGCCAACAGGCAGTGCAGGCTTATGTCTGCTGTGTGAGGTGGAAGCCGCTGCGCTCAGAGCAGCCTGTGCTGGGGAGGAGGCCTCACAGCTGGGGGACGTCTTAGCCCCGCTGACTCTCAGTTCACAGCTGATGAAGGAAACACTATACAGTGGAAATCAGTGCATGCAGCAAGGAGACCCTGGGGTAGTGGCACCTGTCCTGCTCACTCAAGGTTCATGAGGCCTGGAACGCCCTGTGCTCAGGATGGGGGAGCCCGCTCTCCCCAGTCCCCTGCAGCAGCCATGCAGCAGAGAGCGGTGGCAGAGGGAGGATCACTTTGTCTTTGTGTCCTTCCTCTCTCTAGGACTCATAGCAAACCCAGGAGAGGGGGGACCAGTGGCAGTTGGCTTAGAGTCTTATCAGGTTAGCCCTTGGCACGCCATTCTTGTCAGTCCACACCTTGTCCTGCCTGTGTCGGCTCTTGTCCAGGTGCGGGGAGGTGCCTGGCACCTCTGAATCCCTTCTGCTCCCAACCTGGGGCTGCTTCTCCCCTGTCTGCCAGCTGTTTGTGTGCTTCCTTGTCTGTTTTGCTTTGAGGGTTCCAAATTGAAGCCATGGCCTTTTTCTTCCAACCACATCCACGGTACCTTCCTGGCAGTGACAGCAAGGGGTGGTGGGGATTATTTTCTCTGAGTGTAAGCCTCTCTGGAGAATCCCTGTCCCAGGCAGGAGTGCACCCCCACATTCACACAGCTTACTAATGTCAGCAGGCTGCAGCGGCACCCCGAGCCCCTCCCAGGTGTGCCCAGGAGATCCTGGATATCTGCTCAGCTGTTCTGCTCAGTGAGGCCTCAGACAGACAGACTAGCCTGAGTTCTGCTTGTTACCCATGGCCAGGCATCCCTGTGGTCCCTCCAGGTTCTGCAGAGGGCGGCGGAATTCTGAGAGCGTCCCCAGTCTCTGTGTTTAGTGCAGCAGTCAGGTTACGGATGAGATGTGGTCCTCATCATTTTAAATGATTTCTCTAGATGCCAGAGAAACAGAAAATGCTAAAAGCAGCAGCTGCTGTGTGTCAGCTAAAAGTTAAAACAGACGCTTGTTCTCGCTGCCAGCAGAGCAGTGAGTTTCAACACTTCTCTCACTTCAAGATCAGAAATCAAGACATGGATGGGATACTGAGCTGTTTGTGTGATTGTCCATGTGCTTTTACACCTTTCACTGTACCAAATGGAGCAGAAGCTGTCCCCTCCATTGAGCAAGGACTTGTATGGGGTGAGGAGAAGCTGTAAAATGTGTAGTGGGCAATTTTTCTCAAACTGCCCTGCAGGCCTGTCTTTGTGCGCCCCGAGGTTTCTTTCTCATCTGCGTGTTCCGTGTGCTGCCTTTGACCCTAAAGAGAACACTAGGGAGTAGCAAGGCTCAACTCCAGGTCCTCAGGCAGTGTGGACCCTCAGCCTCTGGCGGCGTGAAACAGCTCACTCTCCTGTCTCCCTCTTCGGGAACCCCACCTCATGCTGCTCACCAGATCCCCAGTGGCCTTTGTCCACAGTGGCTGTGTTTATTAAAACATAAGCACAGGTCTTCATGGAATACGCTTATTAGTAGGAGATGGTTGTTGATGGCACCTGTCTGGGTTCCTGCGCTGGGGACATGAGGTGTGATGGGTGGTCTAGGTCAGTTCTGCCTCACTCTGCCACCTCTTTGGTCTCCTTCCATAGCCAAGAAGGGCTTGTGAGAGAGACCACTGTGGCCCAAAGGCAGCACTGCTCTCTTCTGTAGGTGCTGGTACCATCCAGCACATGCCCGGGAAGGACGCTCACCGCTCTGCCCAGCACTTGCCCAAGAGGGACACTCACCTGCCCGTCCAATGCCTGCCTGGGAGGAAGGCTCACCTGTGCTAACCAGCTCAGGTTGGGGAGGTGCATTTGGGAGCCGTGTAAAGGTGTGGCTCTTCACAAAGCCACATGGTGGATGTCTGTGGCCCTAGTGAACCCATTCCTAAGAATTGATGCTGAGGAAATTTAGCAGAAGAAAAGCCACATTGGTAAAGATTATGTCACCAAATTGTCTACAACATCAAAAGTAATGAAGTGAATCGTGATAAATGAACTGGATGGAATGCTGTGTATCCATTAAAGTAGCTATGGAAATGCTCGACTTCCCAAGTGCACACATGGTACGCATGGTGCCTGGACACGTGTGCAGGGTGCTTGGAGAGGGGACCACACTCGTCCAGTCCTAGGTCAGAAGGACACGAGGGCAGGAAGATTGTGTGGTCATGTTTTAGCTTAGAAAGGAAAGCGAGTGCCGTGGTAAGACGGAAAGCAGCTCAGCATCCCCCTTGCTGCCTTTCTCACGGCCCAGGTGGTGAAGGCTCTGAGTTGAGGCCACACTGCCAGGGGCAGACCCAGGTCTCCTGAGCCTCACACAGGGCCTCTAGTCCATTCCTGCCCAGGTCCTGGAGTCAGAGCCCCACCCCGAGGGTCTCACTTCAATGGCCCTGGCCCTGGCTCTGACTCTTCAGAAGGTATTGGCAGTGTCTGTAGACATCTTGGTTGTCACAACTGACTGGAGTGAGGGCCATTGCTAGCATCTAGTGAGTGGAAGCCATGCACAAGCATTCCCCAGGGAATGACCCAGCTCAGATGTCAGCATGAGCACCAGGAAGGTCCTGAGGTGCCCCACGGTGACCCACTGAACAGGTGGGGAACCAATGGCAGGATGCATGGAAGCCAGTGCTGCTTTCCACACAACCTCAGGGATTAATCAGGCTGTTTGTTGAGTCTGGAGCCCGGTCAGTGGGTTGGAACCCAGGGGCCCAGAAATGAAGACACTGCAGTCAGCTTTGGGGGCGGAGAGATGACCCTGTGTCACCTGCTATCATGTCTACCTGCACTGGTGAGAGAGCAGCTCAAGGGCATCCAGAGCCCTCCCAGGAGGAGGCAAGGCCCCCGATGGGCAGGGAGCAGGGGCTGCAGGGGCCTGGTGAGGGGCAGCAGGACAAGATGGTGTATAGGCTTGTGGCATCACTGGTGAGGCAGAAACCACAGGTTGACTGCTGCCTTTGAGGAGGATTAGACTTGGGGCCCTCTATTTCTGGAGGCTTCGTAGACTGTGAGTGTATGTGTGTATTTGTGCCATGTGTGTTGTGTGTATATTGTACAGTGCATTTGTATGTGTTGAGTGTGGTGCTGTATTTGTATAGTTCTGTGCTAAGTATGAGTGTGTTGAGTGAGTATGTGTGATGCATTTCTGTGGGGTGTGTGCTGAGTAGGAGTGTGTTGGGTGTGGTGGGGTGTTTGTTTTGGGTATGTGTTGAGTGTGAGTGTGTTGGGTATGATGCATTTGTGTGGGGTGCATGTTGAGTGTGAGTGTGTTGAGTGAGTATGTGTGGTGTATTTTTGTGGGGTGCATGTTGAGTGAGTGTGGTGGGGTGTTTGTTTTGGGTGTGTGTTGAGTGTGAGTGTGTTGGGTATGATGTGTTTGTGTGGGGTGTGTGCTAAGTGTGAGTATGTTGGGTGTGGTGGGGTGTTTGTTTTGGGTGTGTGCTGAGTGTGTGTGATGTGTGTACTTGGGCACATGAGGGTTTTGCAGGAAGGTGGGGAATTTCAGGGTGCGTTGTGTGGTAGGAAGGAGCCCACGGAGGGTGTACATAGGAGGGAAAGGACAAGGCAACCCTGGTGCCCTGCTAGAGGAGCAGGTGGGGGCCTGTCAGGGGAGGACAGCCCCATGGGTCTGAGGAAGCAGCAGGATGGCTGTAGGCCGAGGGGGAAGAGGGGCCAAGGCAGCTTTTGTTCGGATGGCCTTCCCCTGGGCACTCATCCTCCAGTGCTAGGGCAGACATGCTGGGGAGGAGGGCCAGTCATGGATGTGAAAGACAACCCGAGTGTGCCCACATGGGGGCCCAGGGCCACGTGAGTGAGCGCTGTATGTGTGACTGCACCTGCGGGGCAGGTGACGTGCTCTGGCCTTGTCTCCTCGGCCTCCTGCCCTGAGCGCCTGCTCTTTACCGCTAGGACACGCGCTGGAGCCGTGTCGGGGTAATTCAACCCCGCTTGTTGTGTGTTTGCTCTCCGGACAGATGACAAGACGTTCCAATGTGAGATGTGTTTCAGATTCTTCTCCACCAACAGCAACCTCTCCAAGCACAAGAAGAAACATGGGGACAAGAAGTTCGCTTGCGAGGTCTGCAGCAAGATGTTCTACCGCAAGGACGTCATGCTGGACCACCAGCGGCGGCACCTGGAGGGTGAGCACAGGGCGCCTGCCGTCCAGTCTGGTGACCCTGTCCTGGAACTGCCCTCTCATAGCCGAGTGTCTGAGGTGCTATAGCGAGGGAGGCCCTGGGAAACAGCGGGGAATGAGTGCAGAAAACGACTGTTCCTAGGATGGACTGTTATGCTGTCCCTGAAACTCTGTCCTGTGACAGAAAGTACAAGAGCCAGCATGAAATCATGCACGCGGAAGCTCCCAGCCCCGCACAGGGAGAGAACGTTCTGGTGGATGCTATTGGGGGTTCTTTATACCCTCTGTGCTTCCACATGGCTTCACTGAGCCTTGTCACCAAGGCTCCGATCACACGCACTGTGTGTAATGAGTCTGAGGCTGGGAGCCCCCCGTCCATGCAGTGGGTTAGGAGAGGCCAGAGAGAGGCCCACCCAGCAAGGTCAGTGCTGTCTTTAGACACAAGGGTAGAAGGAGAAAGAAATGGAGGCGGGGAGGGGTGTGACTTGAACACCTTCCTGTGGGGTGACCCACAGAGCAGAACCCAATGTGTGCACAGGCCTCCAGCCAGGAAGCAGCCCCAAGGGTGCGGGCAGTTTCTACCAGTGGAGAGAAGCACTCAGGCTGCAGGTGTCCCTGCCGTGACCTGGGGGAGGTGCTCTCAGGGTCCCACCCGGGGTGTTGTGTGTTTTTTCAGGGCAGATCTCCCAAAGGTTGGTGTTAAATTCAGTCCTGATTTTTCCTCTAAGTGCTGCTGCTCTTTGTAAGTGGTGCTCACCAACCAAAACACCCTTTTATTAACACTTGAAATAATCATTTTAAAGAACATCACAAATGAGCATATGCTTGAAAGAAAATTCGAAGTTACAAAGTCATAAAGAATGTCTGAATTCCATATGTGGTGTATCATCATCACACTTCTTTAAAAACAAGACTGGGATCACATCCCTTATAAAGATCTGCACTTCACTTTGTTACCTGGCCCTGGGTTCATGCAGACTCACAACTTTTCCCCTCGTGGTTGCTTCTAGATGTACATGGGCCCCACTCAGCCACCAGGGAGCTGTGGACACACTGCTGTGCCTCAGTTTCCTTGCTTGTACAGGAGGATAGTAATCGTCCCACTCCCCAGAGTTGGAGTCAGGGTTGGATCAGACCCTGCCAGCTCCCAGCGCAGCTCCAACACAGAGCAACTGCTCATAACTGCAGCCACTGTGTCCCGTTAGAAGTCACTTGCTTCTTATGACGAGCCTGGCGGGGTTGGGTGTACCACTCAACACAACACCCAGATCACCTGTGGTGGGAGTCAGTTCCTGGCCTGTGGCTGTCTCACTGGTCTCCTTGTCTGGGAGCTTAGAGTACCCCAGCCTCAGACCCGCTGTCTGTTGTCCCTCTGTCCCTGGGAGCCCTCTGGAGGCAACCTACCTGTCCAGTGCCTAGGTCACCAGCTTTGCGTTTGTGCCCCGTTATGCAGGAACACTTCCAGAAAGAGACTAAGAACACATTTCTCTCCTTTGTTCAGAGGTTACCCACTTCACATGAGATTTCAGTTATTAGTTTGTGTTTCCCAGGCTGGTCCCAAACCCCGGGGCTCAAGTGATCCTCCCCTCAGCCCCCTCTGAATCTGGGACCACAGGGGTGTGTCACCAAGCCAGACTCACATGAACATTTAGGTCTGATCCCAGTTCTGAGGGTAGCCCTGCCTCCGTCCAGCTGCAAGGGGTATGGGGCTGCGTTTGGATTTGACCTGTTCCATGTGTCCTCACTCTTCCTGGTGGATTCTGGGATTTCAGGAGTTCGGCGGGTAAAGAGAGAGGACTTGGAGGCCGGCGGGGAGAGCCTGGTCCGCTACAAGAAGGAACCTTCTGGATGCCCGGTGTGTGGCAAGGTAACATGCTGTGGTCATGATTGGTGATGGCAGTGGTTTCTTAGTCTAAAAAGTCAGAGCTGCTCGAGTGGAGGACTGTGTGGAGACAGGTAGCAGTGGGTGCACAGATTGTCTTAAACTCAGGTGTGCACTCATCACGTTGCTTGGGTCTCTTTGTCACCTAAGATGTGTTTCCAGTGTGTCTGTTGAGAAAAGTATTTTTTCCTTGACATTTTTCCTCTTTTGCCTTGATTTTTCTGCCAAGCCACTCCCTGGCCCGTGCTCTCCTGCCAAGCATCTTTGGCTGTTGTCCTTCTGGCGAGGACTAGGCTCAGCACACTGAGGAGTGGGGGGTCTGGAGCTTTGTGTCTCTGTCAGTGCTGGTCTCCCCTGCTCATGGACAGCTAGCGTTTTCTAAGTTAGAGATGCAATCGCACGTGACCACAGTTAGCCTGCACACAGTTGGTGTGCCTAGCAAAGTGTGATGTTGCCTGTAGGAGCACATCCATGGTGGTGCCTCTGAATGCACTTCTCTGGCCTCAGCTCGTGTCCAGACTGCAGGTGTCCTATGCTCAGAGCCCTGTCCTGGCTATATGGGCAAAGCTTGTCAGGCTGCCACACACAGTTGCCTTCTTTGTGAATGAGCACTGAGTGGTCTCGACTGGAAATGCTGCTGCCTGTTTATTAGCCTCAACTCCCTCAAGTTGGTGGCTGGCAGATGACAATGGTGCCCTCAGAGGACTAAAACTCATGTACCTTGTGGCATCCAGAGTGTGCGCTACACGGGCTCCCCGTGTGGCTCTCAGCCCAGCAGCTCTATACAGCGGAGGCCTCGCCAAGACGAGGGGGTGTTGCTGAGCCTGTCATAGCTGCACATGGTTCCTGTGAGCAATGTCACATCCCAGGTGCCTCAGCCTGAGGGAACCAAGGCCCTGAATGGTCGGTGGCTATGGGTGGCCCAGTCTCCCCTGCCTGCCAGCACATGGCAGAACTTGCCAGGTCTTTTGACCTTTTCAAGGGAAAATGGAAATCTGTATTTTTATGTGACATTTCCTGATTTTTCTCAAAGTGAAGAGCAAGCCAAAGCCCAGGGAGCAGCCCTGCAGTGGGGACCTTGGGTGGGTAGGGTGGAGCCAGAGAGGAGGAGTGTGTGCTGAGCAGCCAGGTGAGCTGCGGGACACCTGCGCTGGTTTCCTGGCCATGGGGAAGACACACCTGTGTCCAGGTGGAGACACACCACAATCAGGGCCGTGGAGGTGGCTACTGCCTGCCTTGTCCACTGCTCTGTGCTGGTGGGCACAAGGACCACATCTGTTCTGTGGACCACAGTACCCCAGTCTCAAGTCCAGTGCTGGCCATAGGTGGGACACATGAGTGGGTCTCTGCCCTTGTCTCTGCAGCTGGCACTGTAAAGGATCAGGGATGCTGATGGGGATGGGTACAAAACACAGGACACACCAAGGGTTGGCTGATTCTTGGCGTCGTTTAGAAGGCTGCAGGTATTTCTGAGGGGCTGGCCCCTCGAGGCCTCCATCCTCATGACAGACCTGGGCTGCTGTTTACAGTGGACACTAGAGACAGCACTTTCTGTGCTGGGATGTGAGCAGGGTCTGAACAAGAAGTCCCCTTGTGCAGCACTGGTGATCTTTAAAGTCTAGAGTAATCGCCTGTGCTCTGTGCCTGCTCACGGCTTATCCTGCAGGCCAGATAGGCCTCTCGTGTCTCGAGTGACCACAGAGCCATTCCGGCTCCCCTGCCCAGGTGTTCTCTTGCCGAAGCAACATGAACAAGCATCTGCTCACCCATGGCGACAAGAAGTACACCTGTGAGATCTGCGGGCGCAAGTTCTTCCGCGTGGACGTGCTCAGGGATCACATCCACGTCCACTTCAAGGTTTGTGTCACCCACCAGCCTCGCCCAGGCAGTGCGTAGGGGCCAGCTAAGAGAGGTCTGTCTTAGCTTGTGTAGCTCTAACAAAGTACCATAGATCAGGCGCTTATCAACAACAGAAATTTGGCCAGGCTCACGCCTGTAATATTAGGCAAGGGGGAGGTAGATTTAAGGAGGGCGGAGGTTCCAGACCAGCCCAAGCAAATATTAGTGAGACCCCATCTCAAACAATAAACCAGTCGTGGTGGTATATGTCTGTGGTCCCAGCTACATGGGATGCTGTAGGAAAGAAAGTCTAGGCCTGACCCAGGTAAAAATGTGAGGCCCTATCTAAAAAATAACCTAAAGCAAATAGTTTGGGGAGCACGGTTCAAGTAGCAGAACATTTCCCTGCAAGTGCTAGACCCTGACGGCTGGCAGAGTGGCTCGAGTGGTAGAGCTCAAGTGTGAGGCCCTGAGTTCAAACCCCAGTGCCATAAAAAAAAAAAAAGGCCCCAAATTCAAACCCTAGGACTCCACCACACCTGAAAAAGACCAACCAAACGACAACAAAAACAAATTTATTCTCACAGTTCTGGAGGCTGGAAGTCCAAGATCAAAGTTCTGGCAGATTCAGTGTGTGGTGAGGGCCTCCCCACCTGGTTGCTGTGTTCTCACATGGAGGAAGGGACAAGGGGATTATCCAGGCCTGTTTTGTAAAGACACAAATCCCATCCATCAGAGCTCCACCACCTGACCTATCACCTCCCAAAGGCCCCAACCCTCACACTGCCACCTGGGGGTGAGGTTTCCACACACAAATTTGAGGGGATGTAGGCTTTCCCATCATCACCATGTCCGAAAGTTGTCGTCCAAGTGACTTCCCTACCCATATCTGCTCATCCCCTGTGGTCTAGCTGTGGGCCTGAAGTGAGATTCTTGTCATGGCCCCCCTGGGAGCTGGGCACGGCTCCAGGGAGCTGTGCGACAGGTATGATGGAGGGTAGGGAGAGGTGCCTGTGCAGGTGGCGCCCTCAGGCTGCCTGGGGGTCCCCTGGCAGGGCCTGGCCTGCGCACAGGTAGTGGGTTATGTGGTGATCCCCAGGTCAAGGTGGCCAGGGCAGCCAGGGCCAGTGCTGTCCCCAGAGACTTAGTGGTGTACAAATCAAAGCTGTGAGCACCGTGTTAGAGGGCTGTGACTGTCCACAGGACATCGCCCTGATGGATGAGCACCAGCGGGAGGAGTTCATTGGCAAGATCGGGATCTCCTCGGAGGAGAATGACGACAACTCTGACGAGAGCGCTGACTCGGAGCCGCACAAGTACAGCTGCAAGCGGTGTCAGGTGCGCACCCCAACTCCGGGTTCCTGGAGCTGAGGAAGGGGAGCTCGTGACTTGGGGCCATGGGGACCCCCACGCACCTTTCTGTGAATGGGAGAGCCCCTCCCTTCACAAAGGCGGCCATTCCAAACTGTGGGCCTCACACCCTGTCTGAGCCCGCGGGTGGCCCTCCAGAGTGGGCCAGTCTGTCCGCTGGGAGGTGGCTGAGGCTACCCCGCCCCATTCCCCTCCGCCCCCCTCAGACCTGAGGCTCTTCATAAGCTCTCCCCTGCTCAGAAACAGGCTTGCGTGAAGTAGTGCTGCTCATTTCCCAGGGGCCCCATGCTCCGAGCCTCCCATGAGTAGCTGTGCAGTGGCCACCCTTGTGGCTGGCATTGCTGCCAGGAAGTCACAGCTCCTTGCCCAGCATGAGTAATGGGCCCTCTCAGGTTGGGGCGCCGTGGGGTGTGTCAGGCCCAGGGACAGCCAGCATCGTGGTTCCCACCTGCTTGCCCGCAGCTCACCTTTGGCCGTGGGAAGGAGTACCTGAAGCACATCATGGCGGTACACAAGGAGAAGGGCCATGGCTGCAGCATTTGCCACCGGCGCTTTGCGCTCAAGGCCACCTATCACGCCCACATGGTCATCCACCGGGAGAACCTGCCTGACCCCAACGTGCAGAAGTGAGACTGGGCAGGTGGCTCCTGGGGAGTGGGGGGAGGGAGGGGGCTGCAAAGCAATGGTGCTCTGCCCAGCAAGTCATGGTCACTGGGCTTTGGGGACACCTGGCCTATTCAGGCCTCACCCCTGCCCTTGCTGTCCTTCAGTGACACTCAAACAGGAAATAACCAGATTCTCAACCCACTTGAGGAGCCACCAGAAGCCCCTCTCTCCTCCAGTAACCAGCCCAGGGTCTGACCTTATGTGCAGCCTGCACCCAGTGCTGTGCAGTGAGCAAGTGTGTTCATCTCCCAGGTCTGCCATGACAAAGTGCACAGACCGGGGCTCACACACCACAACCAGACATTGATTTCCTTGGTCGTACAAGCTGGGAGTCTGTGACCAAGGTGTCGCAGGGCTGGTTCCTCTGAGCGCTCTCCTTGGTTTGCAGATGGTTTGTATCCTCAGGGCTGTCCCTCTAAGTGTCTGTGTCCTAATCTCTTCCAGGGGCACAGATTGGGTTATGGCCATCCTAGTGACCTCATTTACCTCTGTATGACCCTGTCTCCAAATGGTCACATTCTGAGGCACTGGGAGGTCTGGGCTTCAGCAGTTCAGACACAGTTCAGTCCATTGTAGACGCTAAGACGTTTGCTTCTTAGACACATAGCACCTTTCTGCCCCACCACTGCTGATGAAGACACTGGGCACCTGCCCCTTGCTGCTGACTTGTCTGGGGCTGTGCGGGCTCCTGAGGCTTGTCTGCTTTCAGGTACATCCACCCTTGCGAGATCTGTGGACGGATATTCAACAGCATTGGGAACTTGGAGCGCCACAAACTCATCCACACAGGTAAAGTGTTCCTTATGTCCACATGGCCAATGCCTAGGACTCCTCCTGGCTGTGGCACAGCAGCTGCCCCAAGCCTCCATCCCCATGTCCTGCACTTCTCCAGCTTCTCCCATTCTGGGCACCCCTGCTACTCACAGCATGTGTACCCGCCCCGTCACCACTCAGGTCCTCAGGGACCTTCCCATGCAAAGACCCTGGGGAAAGCTTCGGGGATCCCAGTGAAGGGGTGACCCACATTGTCACTGTGCCTCCAGCTGCAGGGCGATCAGCTTCTCTCCCTGTGAGCCACCACAGCTTTGAAATGTTGCTGTTTGTTTGCAGGTGTGAAAAGCCATGCCTGCGAGCAGTGCGGGAAGTCCTTTGCCAGGAAGGATATGCTCAAAGAGCATATGCGTGTGCACGACAACATCCGCGAGTACCTGTGTGCCGAGTGTGGAAAGGGTGGGTACCATGCCCTGAGCCATGGGAGTGCCCTGCAGTCACGGGGAATTCCCAGGGCCATGGGGCACTTTTGGCCACACACCCAGCTGCACACTCCCTGAGAGGAGGTGGGAGCAAGAATTGGCAGGTCACAGTGTGACAGGTGCCACCAGAGCTGCCTCCCAGAGAGAACACAGACGTTCGCCACTTCGAAGGGAAAGAAGAGGTGATGCTTAAATCAGAGTCTAGAAGAAAAGTAAGTAGTCCAAAAGGCAGAGAGACACAGTCAAGAGAAAGGCACAAACAAATAGTTTTCAAAGTAGAAAGGTAACAACCCGTTCAGTTGTTTAAACTACACAGTGACCTGAGACTCACTGCCTGCTCCGTGACGTCCTCAGCACATGACCTGCTGCTGAGTAGGATCTGCTGTGGCGTAAGAGCATAAATCACAGCCAGGGAATCTCTTTTGTAATAATGTAGAGTTAGCTAATTAAGAATAAACCGCATCAGTAAGTGAAATAAGAAAAAAAGACAGTCCAGTACATGCTAAAATTTTAACCCATTTTACGTTTTTTTAAAAAGCCACCTAAAGACTTGGAGCAGTGGGCCTCTCTCCACCATCCCACCCCCAGTTGGCTCTTTCATGTACCTGCAGAACTAGTCTGGCCGGGCACTGGTGGCTCCTCAGGAGGTGGAGATCAGGAGGATAGCAGTTCAAAGCCAGCCCGGGCAAATAGTTTGTAAGACCCTATCTCGAAAAAAAACCAATCACAAAAAAGGTCTGGAGGAGTGGCTCAAAGGTGAAGGCCCCGAGTTCAATCCCCAGTACCACAACAAAAACAAAAACAAAAAAACTAGTTTGTTCAGATCTGAGCAAATCAAGTTTATCACTTTGTCTTAAAAGCTATTTTAATTTCATATTCCATAAAGTTTTACTTTTTCCTTTACTTGTGTTTTAAAAAAATTAACAGAAACATAGCAAGAAAACTCAAATGATCTGTAATCCCATCTCCTAGCAGCCTTTATGAATACATATAAAATAATATCGCATGAGCGAAGTGAAAAGCGTCCACTGCAGAGAAAAACAGGGAATGCAGGCTTTCCTTTGCTCCTCGTCCTGGTCCTCAGCCCCTCCCTGAGGCCAACAGCACAGGTGCTTTGTCCCATCCTGCAGAGTAATTGGGCCAGGACAGCACCTGGGCTGTGGTGCAGAGTGAGCCATGTGGGCATAGAGTGGCCATAGCTCCTCTAGTCCCTCGTCCACCTGCCACCACTAGCTCCCTCCCTCCCTCCCCTGACAAAAAGTTAACTTTAAAAATACGAGACAAGGTTGGGTAGAGGAGTCCTCATGGGACAGTGTAGAGATTGGAGGGTTGGAGGTGGGCAATTGTAGCGGACCTCTGTAGCTGATCTCTCTCTGTAGGGGACAGAGAGAGATTACACCAGGTTCCTGGAGGTCTCCATGCACGTCGCAGTGGGCCTGGAAGGGTGGGTCAGTGCTCCAGGGGAGCCCAGGGGCTCCTTTTAGTTCTCCACTTACCCTCTTGACTCTGACCTGGAAGAACCATCCTGTTCAGGGTCAGAGCCCAGGTGCCAGCCACAGCCAGGTACATCAGTGCTAGAGGGAAAGCAGGCACCCTCTCAGACTTGGCAGGTGTGGGTACAGTGGCAGTAGGCAGTCTGACAAGTGCTCCAGGGGAGCCCAGGGGCTTCCTTTTATTCTCCACTTACCCTCTTGACTCTGACCTGGAAGAACCATCCTGTTCAGGGTCAGAGCCCAGGTGCCAGCCACAGCCAGGTACATCAGTGCTAGAGGAAAGCAGCACCCTCT